GGAGTTTCTCTGCGTGATAGACTCAGAAATGAGGATATCCGCAGTAAAACCAGAGTGACCGACATAGCCCAACGGATTAGTAAGCTGAAGTGGCAATGGGCCGGCCATATAGCTCGAAGAACCGATAACCGATGGGGAAGAAAGGTTCTCGAGTGGCAGCCTCGTACCGGTAGGCGTAGTGTAGGGCGACCCCCCACTAGATGGAGTGACGACCTGGTAAGACATGCAGGAAGTCGATGGATGCAGGTGGCTCAGGACCGTGCTTTGTGGCATTACTTGGGGGAGGCCTATGTTCAGCAGTGGACTTGTGAAGGGCTGTAATGATGATGATGATTTTACGCTGGTATTCTGTGAGAGCGTGATCCTTCCGCGGTCGGGCTGACCCATTTATGCTACACCAAAAGCTGAACGAAAAGTCGATTTCGAGTGTCGTCTGTTTAAGGAAGAGTGGGCTTGGAAATATTTTTTACGGAATACAACGGTAAGCTAATATGTCTTCTTTGTTATGAAGCAGTGGTGGTATTTAAATATTTTAATTTTGTTCATCATTTTAACATCAAACATTCAAATACCAAATATGCTTTGATGAATGACGCGGAAAAAAGGTAGTAAATGCGGAAAACTTAATAAAAACAATATCTGCGCAACGGAATGTGTTTATAATGCAAAACACTGCACAAAAGGCTTCTACATTGGCTAGATATGTAGTGGCTTATAAAATAGCTGAAAATAATAAACCATACACGGAAAGAGAATTTGTTAAAGATTGTATGGTGAGTTTGGGTAAAATTTTATCTCCAGAAAAAATTAAAGAGTTTAAATCTGTCGTCTTATCGTGAAAAACAGTAACAACGCGAATTGATGCCATTGCAACGAACTCGTCGACTCAATTTAGGCAGCGTATAGGTAACTTTAAATATTTTCCGTGACGATGGATGAAAGTACGGATAGAAGAGACACTGCTCAATTGTTAATCTTCATCAGAGACGTTGACGACGAATTTAATATTACTGAAGAGCTAGCTTGTTTACAATCGATAAAAGGAAAAATGACGGGGCAAATAGTTTATAACGAATTTTTCGAAGGTCTTTAAAATTTAAATGCGCCTATTTCAAGGTTATGCAATATAACTACAGATGGAGCCCCAAATATGGTTTGAAAAAACGCGGGAATTTCGGGTATTTTTCGGAACCAGAATCCTAATCACGATGTTGTATTTTTACATTATATAATTCACCAGGGCGTCAATTGTAAAGCTGAAATAGATATTACCCGTGTACTTAATGTGGTTTAACTTAATTAATACGATTCGAGCTCGGGGCGTGGAACACCGACAATTCCAAGAACTTCTGATTGAAGTCGACGCAGATTATTCTGACCTTATTTACCGCACGAAAGTAAGATGGTTAAGTTGTGGATGAATTTGAACGGGTTGAGAATTTAAAATAGAAATTACAAGATTTCTTAAAGAAAAACAGTCAAATAGTCTGATTTCCAAATCTTCGAAGACAAAGATTGGCGTACCGATTTTGCATTTTTAGGAAAGAACCAATTTATAGATGAGACTTGGGGTTGTCTGAAATAATTTAAAACCTAGCTTTCTCTGTTTTATAACTGCATGGCGAGAAACGATTTAACTCAATTTTCGCGTTTAAAATCCATGTCACTAGTTAGTCAAAACAAACTACAAGAATTCAGTCAGGCGTTGAAAAAAAATTTAATCATCACTAGACGTTTTCTCGATGCCGTTTAATGTAGATCCGGAAAATGTATCTGCTGAATTATTGAAATGCAGTGCAGTACCGATTTAAAGCAATTGTTCTTAAATTCCACAAAACTCGATTTTTATAGAGCACTACTGAAAGCTGAGTTCCCAAAGATCATTGCTCACGCCCAGAAAATTATGGCGATGTTTGCGTTGTATTATGTGTGCGAACAGATTTTTTCAACCATGACATTGTGAAAACACTCAATCAGAAACAGATTGACTGATGAACACCTTTTTGCACAGCTGAAAGTTCCTTCGTCACAGCTGAAACCTGCTTTCGAACATATTACGGAAAATCAAAAACAATTCCATATGTCTCACGCGCCTAACAAGGCAGAGCTTTCGAATAAAAGTTAAATTAATTACTATTTAGGGTAAAAGGTATTTTATAAATTTGTGTGTAATGCTGTAATGTTTTTATAATATTAATAATTAAAAGCTTTAACACAAAATGCATTTTTGCTACAATTTTTGTCCTCCTCTAGAATTTCCTATACTTTGTGAAAAAAAAGTTTGCACACCACTAGTGTAAACTGTACATATTTTGTTTTATCGGCGACTAGCAGCAAATTATTTAAGGCAAATTTTGGGATCAATGTATAGTATTTCTTTAGGTTGTTTAAATTCCATGTTATTCTATTTTACCTCGTGTTTTACCCCGTAACTCAAAAATCACGTAAAGCCTTTGGCCATTGGAAAAAACGTTTTCAAAAGTTAAAAGTTAAGTAAAGTTGCAGCAAATGTACGTCATACTGTTTGGCACAGGCCTCCACGCCTTCTGAAAGGATTGCAGAGAAATTATTTCGACATGAAAATGTCCTCGAAATAAATTATTCCTCAGACTTGCAGGTTTTCTCACGATGTTTTCTTTCACGGCCCGGCACGTGGTAAATCAGCACCTAAAATTGCATTCAACTACTTCATTGGTTAAAATTGTTTTAGTGCAAGTGAAAAAGATTGTGAGCGTGTTGTGACGGTGTGAGAATCTCCACCAGCGTAAGAGCCAACAGAGGGGATTGAAACAGGAGAGCGGCAGCAGCGTTTTCCTATTAATAACAACAAATAAAACTCATTGTTACCACTCCGCCTGCCACGCGTGGCAGCCGTGGCAAATATGTCCCTACGAGGCAATCTTATCCATTATGTTCAGCAGTCGACATAAGAGAATCCACGACCCATATCGTCCCCTGGGTGTCGTAAGAGGTGACAGAAGGATACTGAAAAAGGAAATGTGCAGCAGGATCTTAACGTTAAGAGCTCAAAAAAAAACTAAGGTTTCCAACCAAATATGGAGAATATTTGATTAGAAACCTTATGACACAATCTGTTGGGTGGCCTATTTTCAGCAGTGGAAAAAAGTTTGTGATGCGGAGAGGCTGTCCTGTGCACATCGAGACAAGCGGCGTGGCTGTTAGTTTGCACACTTTTTGGTGCTATCAGGCAATGACCTGCATCATGTTACGTTAACGTGTGATGTTATGATAACGTGACGCATTTCAGTATGGCTAAGTTGGAGTTGCACTACACTGAATGTGTAGTGCGGTACTGCGGTCTTAGTACCGATAAGAATTAATTGCGTAATCAAAAAGGTTAAACAACCGCAGAGGCTACTATTGTTTTTAACAATATGTAACATCTTAATTTATTTCTATATTTATACATAAAAACGAATTTTTTTCTGTCTATTCTTTGATTGTTTGTGTGATAAAATTTATCCATTACGATTTCACCTAATTACGAAACTTTAGTGAGTTTCGCGCGTACCCGCAAATGCTTCTGACAAAAAAAGGAATTGAAACGCATACTGGATACATTAAACTCTTAGAAAAAAATCTATAAAATATGTTTATAACATTCAACTTTCGTGACACTTATTAATAATGTGGCCAACTTTATGAGTCTCTTGATGATATGATTCTGAATGGAAGGACCTCTTGTAATGAAACGATCTAGGGTATGTTTAATCCGATAAACTTTGATTTTTTTTGAGAAATCGTAAAATTGACAAAATAAATGGTTAATGATTTTAAATATAAAAACACTACAATAATAAATCGATCACAGGTTTATAGTAATTCAACAAAATTAATCACAGCTGCAGAAAGTGTTGTATCAAATTAAGTAAATTATTTTTACTGTTAAAAATGAAATAGATAACTTCTTCTTTATCAGCCCACCGCTAAAAGCTTAAGCTTTAAAGATTAGATGCTCGCAGTTTTCCTTTTATTCTTAATTAAAACGTTACCCCAACACTAGGATTATCTTGTATCGAACACGCTTACATACATAAATTTCACAAAGACAAACATCCAGACCCGGAACAATTACTTGTAGACCACACAAATACTTGTTCCGTGCTGGATTCGAACCCGCGGCCGTGAGCGCTGAAACTCATTGCTAAGCTCCGACGCCGTCATCATTAAAGTTACTTCCTGTCTCTGGTACGAACGAGATATGTCACGTTTGTTGAAAACAAGGTGCTTATATCGCCATCTATCGAACGCCATATTATCGTTCCGGTAGTTTGCATACTTTCCTATACTATATTTACGCGGCATAGCAATGCTGCAGTTAGTTATATTGTGATCGAAGCACGAATGGGAAAAAATCACGCTTTCACAGAACAAGCTGAATGTAGTGCCTAGAGTAGAGTAGTAGTAGAAACCTTTTACTGTAAGCGAGGCATTCCATCTTAGTTATTAAGGGGTGGTAACGCATCTGCATTTTGATTCTTAATCGATGATATACGTAGGTGTCTAGGAACAACTGCATCCACTTACCATCAGTTGAGCTGAGCGCTCGTTTTTCACATTCATTGTATAAAATAAAAAATATATCCACGAGACAAAAGGGACAATCAAACTTCTTAAGCCACTAAACGGCAATCAATTAATATTGCTACAAGTTCTTGATAACATCTAAATTATTAGGAAACAATGAATAAAAAGCAGAAAATGGTTAAATAAATATATTGAAACAATTTTTGTTATCACAGAAATGTATAAGGTACTATTTGGACATATAACACAATGGAATACAATTAGCAGTTGACAGTTTTAAAACATAAATACTCAAAACATCAGTTAGCAGGTAAATACCTAATGTCTATGGAACGCGAAGTTGTTAGAGCAAATAGTTGACGCATGATTATAAGGCAATTAACCAAGATGTTTTGTCACTGTTTTTTAATTGCTAAACTGACACTAATATTTTTTGTATCCTCACGTAGCACCTACCACCATCCACTCCTCCAGCCAGAGAACCAGCCACCGTAGCCGCCGTACCCGCCGAGACCGCTGTAACCGCTGTAGTACGGCGAGTACACCAGAGGCCGTGAGTAGACCACGGGCGAGGAATACGCGTACGGCACAGAATAGCTAGAGTGAATGTAGCCAGCCGAGGCTACGCCCAAAATGGCAATAACAGCAAATATGCAAACCTGGTAACGAAAAAAGGACAATTTAATACATCATGGGCCATTTACTTTTTTTGGTGACAGGCTCGTTGGTCTAGTAGTTGTAAACGCGACTGCTGATCGTGAGGTCCTAGGGTGGAATCCCGGGTCGCGCCTAAAAATCAGTTATTGGGCTTTTCCGTTATTCTCTCAAACGCCAGATTTGACCACTTCGATATTACGTCAAATATAGTGTTTTTTCTGAAATTGTTATATAAGTTTTTGTATGAAAATAATTTATTTTTTACGTAAATAATTTCGAGTAATATATAGAAATAACAGTGATTTTCACGCTGCCGACATCCGCTTGGTATGTATCCATTTTTTGTTATCAAAATACAATAAAGTCTTTTTGTAATGAAGTAAAACCTGACTTTTGTTTAGACCACAGGATAGAGAATTTTATATAAATTTTATAATGCCAAACTTCTTTATAGAAAAATAGTCTCTAAATATAGGTTTTAATGGTTTTAAGTGCTGGGGGTGAGTGCGGTCGCATGCGACCGCTCGGGATTTGCCAGTCTCATGCTACTGCATGAGAATTTTATGGAGATTGAAGGGTTAAGAAATTCTCATTAGCTGCCCAAAGTTAGGAAGTTGGCGGTGTTTCAACAACGGGCCTCGGAAGGCGCCTGCGCCTGACCTCTCATCGGTCGTGTCGTTTTACCATCACATCGGACTGTAAGTGAGAGAATAGAAAGTGCAGCTGTGCTTGCGCAAACACTTGGGCACTATAATCTTTCCTGTGTACTGCTTCTGGCGGACATTATTCCTCTTTTGAACTTCGGCATTATTAAAATTGAATTAATTGGATTTAAACAGCTAGGAACAATATTTAGGTAATACGAGAATTGTTGCTATCTTATCCGATTATGTTGTAATTATCACTGTGTTTGTAATTTTACGTTCAGCTTGCATGTTTGTGCGCATTTTTTTCAGCACCTTCAAATTTTCTTCAGTATCACTTAATTATTCTGAATTCGATTAATAGGAATCGTTTTAATTGTAAGCAATAATTTTATATCAGTAGCAAGCAGGTAAAATGTTCTGAAAAACGTGCGTAGTTAAAAAGTTATTAATAAGATAACCAGACTAGTAAATATAAATGCTATAAAAACTCAATGAGTTAATTAATTTAGTTATAATGTGTGTTCTCAAGTAGGAACGGAAATATTTCTTAAAAGATCTGATTAAGATTCAATTAGCACTAAATTAAATGAATAATATAAATCAACAACTTACGAAGAATTTCATCTTGGTAGTTGTTGACTGCTTCAGGAGTGATGAGTTAGTACGAAGTGCGAAGCAAATTTTCTCCCTTATATACCTCCCTTATATATATATATATATATATAGAGGATGAATATGTGACGTAATCTTTATTGACCTTAATAACAGTTCAATCAGCTTTTCCAACTGGCCGATTGAACTGAAAACACTGCATTAAATATATTTTATTCATTATATGACATCCATTAGAGGACGGGTCTCTCTCCTTTCAGTATCGAAATGGACATATTTTACATCGTAGGTTATTTTGTCGTTTCTTGCTAAGCAACAATTACTCAATATTATATTATATACTGAATAACAAGCAAACGGTTAATATGAGAGTCATGTTAACCGTTTGTTTGTTATTTCCAAATAAATCAGTAATGAATATGTGTTTTGATGTGTTGTTTTACGGCAACAAATAAAATCATGTGTTATAGTCATGTCGCAGGTCCCGTGTTTGAATCCCATTTAGCCCGGCACTTCGTGTATTGTAATTATCCCCGCGTCTATGATAATGCATTCAAAAGACAAAATAATTTTTGGTTAGATATAGGCTTGTATTAAATATTTTATGAACAATAATATATTATTTATATACGCAATGTTTATGAACGTCAAAATATTCATCAGTGAGCATACAAAAATTCTTAGAGGAGTACCGGCAAGAAACTATGGGGTATTTTTAAGTTATTTTAAATGCCATAATATTACAATATTCATTAACTTATTTTAAAATCAATGAAATGTTTGGTATCTGATTTTTAATAGGATAAGGGTGGCAAGCGAGCACACAGTCCACCTGATGGTAAGTGGTTGCTGTGGTCCATAAACATATACATGTATCTTCGACTAATAATCAGAATTTAGATGCATTGACACCCCTCAGGATGAAGATGGAATACCTTGTTTCCAGTATTTGTTCGGTTCTCTACATTCATCATATGAAACACAGGAGCTTTAAGCTACTATTTAAGCTGATATTCTGCGAGAGCGTGGTCCTCCCCCGGCCTCGAGTCGACCTGTTAGTGTTACAGCTTTAATATTTGCAGCGTGGTTCTACCGAATATAATCTATTAATGTTTTGTAATTTCAGTACTAACAGTACATGAGCAGCTAAGGGACTAGCATGTGCAGAGTTAGTCTAGTCGTCAGGTGAAAGTTTATCGACCAAATTGGTGATATATTGAAAATGAGCCAAATTAGGAGTACCCTTAACCAAAAAGCATGTATGCGTAAGTATATAAATGTGGAGGAGGCGAGAGAGATGTGTCAGGATCGTGCCAAATGGAATTCTGTAATTTGGACTCTGGCTCTGAATTTCTAGGGACCTTCAAGAAAAGAGCTTACTCCTTTCTAAAAGGCCGGCGACGCAGGTGCAATTCCCCTGGTGTTGCGGTTGTTCATGCGCTGCGGTAGTCACTTAGCATCAGGTGAGCCGCATGCTCGTTTGCCCCCTCTTCTATAAAAAGAAATTCTGCCTACTCTTCTTGATGACAGTCGTAAGTGTTTATGTATGTATTGTAATAAAGTATATAAATATCCCTACTATAATACAATCTATGGGAATCCAATGTTGACCAGTAGACTTTGATCGACTGTTATTTTTTTTAAAACATAGGGTTCCGGAAAGGCTGTCCTGTGCACTTTACACTTCAAGATAAGCAGTGTGTTTGTTAGATTTGGTGTTGTCATGTAATTACATAGATCATGTTAGGTGTGATTATGACGTTATGTATTTCGGTAATGTTGATTATAGTTACACTACATTGCATGTGTACTTTGGTAGGCTGTTTTATTGCTGATAAGAATTAGTTCCGTAAGCAAGAGGGCAAGAAAACTTCCGCTCTCAGACTCTCATTGTACGTGGTAGAGCAAGGCTGCAGCTTAATTACGGTTGTAGCACGAATGGGTCAGTTCGACCAGGGTAGGACCACACTCTCACAAAACCAGCGTAAAATAGAAGCTTAATGTTTAATTTTATTCTTAACGAGGCATTGTACGTGATACCTCAGGGGTGACAACGCGTTCTGAATTTTCATCAGTCGTAGGATCCACTTACCATTAGATGGGCTGTGTGCTCGTTTGTCACACTTATTCTACAAAAAAAATTATAACCCGAGGGTATATTATGATCGAAGCAGGAATAGGTCGGCTCGACCGGGAAAGGATCACCCTCTCACAGAATACCAACGCGAAATAGCAGTTTAATGTAGTGAGTGTAGAGAAACGGAGAACCTTTTTAATGTAAGCGAGGCATTTCATCTTAATAATTAAGGGTGACAACGCATCTGCATTTTCGAGGATAGATGTAAATGTCTATGGATCGCAGCAACCACTTTATCATGTGAATTGCGTGCTAGTCTGTCACACTCATTCTACAAAAAAATAAATCCACGGGACAAAAAAGAACAATAGGTTCTCTTAAACCACCACATGACAATCGATTATTATTGTTACAGGTTCTTGATAACATCTAGGTTGTTAGGAAAACAGTGAATAAAAAGGAAATTAATTAATTAAATTTATTTATATCATTTTTGTTATCACAGAAATGTATAAGGTACTTTTTGGGTATTTAACACTATGGAATATAATTATTAGTTTTACAGTTTCAAAACAAAAACACTTAAAACACCAGTTAGCATGTAAATACCTATTGGAGACGAAACGCGACGTTGCTGGAGCAAGTAGTTAACTATAAGGTACCTGATCATGATGTTTTCTCACAGTTTTTAATTGCTAAACTGACACCTGGTTGTTGGCATCCCCGCCTTTAGTCTACCACCAGCCAGAGGACCAGCCACTGTAGCCGCTCAAGCCGCCGAGACCACTGTAACCGCTGTAGTACGGCGAGTAGACCACCGGTTGTGAGTAGACTACGGGGGAGGAATACACGTACGGCACGGACCAGCCAGAGCGAATGTAGCCGGCCGAGGCTACGCTCAGAATGGCAATAACAGCAAAGATGCAAGCCTGGGAACGAAACGAGGGCAATTATTTAAATAGACTGAATAATCAGTTAGCTCTAATTTATATTGATGAAATAAATCAAAAACTTACGAAGAATTTCATTTCGGTAGTTGTTGACTGCTTCAGGAGCGATGAGTTAGTACGAAGTGCGAAGCGAATCTCCTTCATTATATACCACTCAACATCTGGTCATCGAGGATGAATATGTAACATAGCATTAATTGACTTAAATAATAGTTCAACCAGTTTGTTCAACTGGCCGAAAGAAAACACTGCATTATCAATAATTTTATTCATTGTATGATGTCTATTGGAGGACAAGCCTCTCCTTTGAGATCTAAATGGGCATATTTTTACATCGTAAGTTATCGTCGTTGCAACTTTTGCTCCTCTCGTATTAACCGTTTGCATGTTATTTTGAGGTAAATCGATAGTGAATATGTATTTTGAAGTTTTATTTACGATAATGGACGAAATTAAATCATATGTTGGATTTATGTCGCTGGTCCCGAGTTCAAATCCCATATCGGCATATTACCAGGATTGTTTATCCGTAAAAGCACAAATTATTGTTTTCGCGTCTTAATGTAATATAATTTTCCTGCATCTATGGCAATGCATTCAAATACAAAGTTAATATCAAACTTTATTAAATTTAGGCTTGTTTTAATATTTTATGAATCTCAAAATTTACATTAGTATACAAAAACAAAAACTTTTTAGAGAAGAACCGGCAAGAAACTCTGGATTATTTTTAAATGTCATATTTATAGTTCATATACAACTTATTATCAAATCAATATAATGTAAAATGTCTTAAAAATAAGACATGAGACATTTTACTTATTTTAAGACATTTTACGTTGTAGAATAACGGTGACAAACGAAGTCCATCTGACGATAAGTGGTTGCTGTTGCACGTATTCAATTAAGAAAAATTCAGATGGGTTGACACCCCTGAAGATTAAGATAAAATAAATCGTCTCTCGTAAAAAGCCTATTCGGTTCTCTACACTTATCATACGAAATATAAAAACATTAAGCTACTATTTACGCTGGTATTCTGTGAGGGCGTGGTCCTCCCTCGGACGAGTCGACCTATTCTTGTTACAACTATAATATAGACGCAACGTGGCTCTTCCACATATTATAAACTATTAAGTTTTTACAATTTCAGTACAAACAATACAAGAGCAGTCAGGGGGACTTGCAATTGAGAGAGAATTGTTTCCACAAACCATCGTCCTCAATATATTGGTCTATTTTATACTAGGATTTACTTAAAAATAATCCTTAAGGACTGTGTTAAATTTTATTTCTGCGCATTATTTTTATAGGTCTTATTGAAAAAATATGCGTTTTTATTCAAAAAAAGACTTTCTTGTTTTAGCTATTTTAAACTTAGAACCTCAAGCGTATCACCTTGAACCGGTACAGAAACTACAAAACAGGACTGCGGTTTTAATTAAGAAATTTATATAAATCCTTTCATAAATAATGTTCTCAAAAATCTACGACGGAATTATCAAAATCTTAGTCTCCTTGCGAGCCCCAAGTTTTAAATTTGCTGTGTCGCTTGATACTGCTGATTATGACGTTCCAGTTTAAAATCCCGGGTCGAGCCAAAAAATCACTTATAAAGTTTTTCCGTCGAGAAATTCTCAGTTGGCAGTATCTCTCCCCGAAATATGTAAAGCCGTTGGCCTTGCACTTGATCTCTCTCTGGTCTTGTGGGATTGCCATCCCATCAGACTATTTGTGTGAGAGAATAGTGAGTGCACCTGTGCTTGCGCATACGCTAGGGCACTGTATTCCTGTCCTGCGCTGATGGATAGTCTTCGTTGCGACTAGCCGCCGTGACTAACTTTCGGTCTGAGGACATTATCATGATTATAACATATAAATTATGTGGACTAATAACATATTATCGTAAACAAAAGAACAAGGTCACGCGATCGTCAGAATAATTTTATATATGAGAACGGAACTGAAATTTATTGTGGACGCAAGTCTTTTTATAATAATTGCGGGGACGAATTTGAACATTTACACAGACTTCCCGGAGTGTCGGTGCTCAAACATAATGCTGACGTGAAGCACTGACGCTCTGGGAAGTCTGCAGTCTATGAGCATGTTCCAGATCGTCTACATTAGATTTGATAGACTAAAAATCCTTGCAAAGGAACGTCGATTCCTACCAAGGATGATTCACGATACTATTGAAATATAAAGACATCCCAATTTCAATAGAGTATGTGGATAGGTGCTGCCATCTACTTGGGATCCTGTAATAAATAAAATTAAATCAAAACCCTAACTTTTAAATTAAAGGTAATAAGTAAAATTTATTATTTGAGTATAAATAATTTTATTTGAAAATTGTATGTGGTTGTAGTAACTCTGAGTGAAACATACCTGCCGCAGAGATAATATGGTGTCTAAAATTGGGAATAATGATGTGTGTATATGCAAGCAGGGGCAATATCTCAGAATGGTCCTGAGGCAAAGCGGCAGGGGCGCAATGTTCTTACACCCTAGTACATATTATTTTCAAATAAATATTTATTTAAATTTTTTATTTCAAATAAATTTTAACACTATTAACTAAGTATTTCTATTTCTGTACAGAGTAAAATTATTTCTTTACGTTTGAATACTGGTCCTGACAAAGCTCTTAACTGGAACCATTGCGTTTTAGTTACATGTTGTATTCCTTCTTCGGGCAAAATTCCGCTCAAGACTACAACTACTCGGGGCAAATGGAGCAACAAGACCAAGGCGACCCCTGCCACGCTGTCCGTGAATTTCTGCAAGGGGACTTCACTCTAACCTAAACGCCGTCCACTACCATCTCGAGATACCAGCTCCTTCCACTTGACCGCATCCAGCGCAGAGCGGCTCGAATCGTCGACGACCGAGTGCTTTCCGATCGGCTCGATTCACTGGCACTGCGAAGAGATGTTGCATCTCTTTGCATTTTATTTCGCATATACCATGGAAAGTGCTCTGAGGAATTGTTCGGATTAATCCCAGCCGCCAAATTTCGTGAACGCACTACGCGGCAAACGTTCCGATACTATCCACAACATCTGGATGCTTGGCGGTCCACCACAGTACGTTTCAAAAAGAGTTTTCTTCCGCGTACAACCTCTCTGTGGAATAGTTTACCACCGGTGATTTTTCTGGACCGATATGACCTGGGGACGTTCAAGAAAAGAGCATACTCGTTTCTAAAGGGCCGGCAACGCACCTGCAATTCCCCTGTTGTTGTGGTTGATCATGGGCGGCGGTAGTCACTTAACATCAGGTGAGCCGCATGCTCGTTTGCCCCCTCTTCTATAAAAAAAAACATGACCAAACCACCGAAGCATTCGTTTCTTAATGCTGGTCACAACATCATCTTGCATGCCACATTTATCTCTTATCACGCGATTTCTCACCCTGTCATCAGATTCACTCCTTAAAGACCGCATTTCTACAGCATTTATTCTACTTTCGTGCTTCTTCTGCCACACTCAACTTTCACTACCATACCTTAAAGTAGGGATTAACACAACATTATGAATTATTATACGTGACTTTTTTGCCACATTCTGATTCTTCATAATAGAGTGTAGTGCCCTCACTCTATTCCCTGAACGCAGGATTACTAATTACATAGATCATTGTGATTATGACGGTACGTAGTTCCGTAAGGTCGAATTATAATTACACTACATTGCATGTGTACTAAGATAGGCTGTTTCATTGCTGATAAGAATTAATTATGTAAGCAAGAGAGCAAGAAAACTTCCGCTCTCAGATTCTCATTATACGCGGTAGAGCAACGCTGCAGCACTATTGTGATTGTAGCACGAATGGGTCAGTTCAACCAGGGTCTCACAAAACCATCGCAAAATGGAAACTTAATGTTTAATTTGATTCTTACGATGAGTATAGAGATCCGAATACCCTTTTAACTGGTAACGTGGCATTGTACGTGAGACCTCAGGGGTGGCAACGCGTTCTGAATGTTCATCAGCCACAAATCGACTTACCATTAGATGGGCTGTGTGCTCGTTTGTCACACTTGTTCTAAAAAAACAATACTCCGTGGGTATATTATGATCGTAGCACGAATAGGTCGGCTTGACCTGGAAAAGATCACGCTCTCACAGAATACCAGCGTGAAACAGCAGCTTAATGTAGTAAGTGTAGAGAACCGGAGAACCATTTTAATGTAAGCGAGGCATTTCGTCTTAGTAATTAAGGGTGACAACGGATCTGCATTTTCGAGGATGATATTTAGACAACCACTTTATCATGTGAATTGCGTGCTAGTCTGTCACACTCATTCTAAAAAAAATAAATCCACGGGACAAAAAAGAACGAATAGGTTCTCTTGAACCACCAAATGGCAATCGATTATTATTGTTATAAGTTCTTGATAGCATCTAAATTATTAGGAAAAAAATGAATAAAAAGCGGAAATTGGTTAAATAAATTTATTTATATCATTTTTGTTATCACAGAAATGTGTAAGGTACTTTTTGGATATTTAACACAATAGAATATAATTGTTAGTTTTACAGTTTCAAAGCAAAAACATTTAAAACACCAGTTAGCATGTAAATACCTATTGGAGACGAAACGCGACGTTGCTGGAGCAAGTAGTTGACTATAAGGTCACTGATCACGATGTTTTCTCACAGTTTTAATTGCTAAACTGACACGTGGTTGTTGGCATCCCCACCTATAGTCTACCACCAGCCAGAGGACCAGCCACTGTAGCCGCTCAAGCCGCCGAGACCACTGTAACCGCTGTAGTACGGTGAGTAGACCACCGGTTGTGAGTAGACTACGGGGGAGGAATACACGTACGGCACGGACCAGCCAGAGCGAATGTAGCCGGCCGAGGCTACGCTCAGAATGGCAATAACAGCAAAGATGCAAGCCTGGGAACGAAACAAAGGCAATTATTTAAATAGACTGAATAATCAGTTATCTCTAATCTATATTGATGAAATAAATTAGAAACTTACGAAGAATTTCATTTCGGTAGTTGTTGACTGCTTCAGGAGCGATGAGTTAGTACGATGTGCGAAGCGAATCTCCTTCATTATATACTACTCAACATCTGGTCATCGATGATGAATATGTAACATAGTATTAATTGACTTAAATAATAGTTCAACCAGTTTGTCCAACAGGCCGAAAGAAAACACTGCATTATCAATAATTTTATTCATTGTATCACGTCCTTTGAGATTAAAATTGGCATATTTTTACTATTGCTTCTCTCGTATTAACCGTTGGTATGTTGTTTCGAGGTAAATCGATAGTGAATATGTATTTTGAAGTTTTGTTTATAACATTGGACGAAATTAAATTATGTATTGGATTTGTCGCTGGTCCCAATTTCGAATCCCATCATTATCATCATTACAGCATTTCACAAGTCCACTGCTGAACATAGGCCTCCAACAAGGAATGCCACAAAACACGTTCCTGAGCCACCTGCATCCATCGACTTCCGGCATGTCTCACCAGGTCGTTACTGTATCTAGTGGGGGACTCGAGAACCTTTATTCCCCATCGGTTGTCGATTTTTCGAGATATGTGGCCGGCCCATAAGGACTGTATCTTCGGCAAGTCGAAAGTGAGTGATGTACTCGCTATTGACGTTAATACCGTATCCTTTTCAGTTCAGTATATGGAACGTCTTCCAATGCAGTGATGAAGAGTATCGGGGATGTTACGTCACCCTACCTTACACCTCTTTACAGTTGGATAGGTTTCATATACTGATTCTGTACTCGGATAACCATCGTAACCCTAATTTACAAACACTTCACCACTTCTATATACTGACAGTCCACTTGGCACCGTTGAAGGGACTGCTCTATCGCCTAAATTTCGACGGAACCAAAGGCTTTCTTATAGTTCACATACAAAAGACAAAGTGGCAGAGTGTACTCTTCCGACTTTTGTACAATTTGCCGAAGGATATGTATGTAGTCTATGATAGTAAAACCTTTTCGGAAACCGGCTCATTCGGGATGCTGAAAGTCTTCAAGTTAGCGTACGAGACGATTCATAATGACTCTCAGGAACAGCACGTAGACGTGGTTTAGAAGGAAAACCGGTCTGTAGTTTTGAGACCGTTGTCGCTTTTCTTAAAGAATAATACCACCGCACTTCTGCTCCGTGCCTCCAGAGTAATGCAACCATGGAGGACGGAATCGAAGAGCTTCTGAAGGACTTCACGTATCGGTTTTCCACCCGCTTTCAGAAGCTCCGCTGTAATTCCATCCTCGTCCGTGGACATGCCGTCTTTAAGGTGCTGGAGAGTCATTCTAATAACGATCAGACTGACGTCCAGGATATCATCGGAATAGTGTATATTGTTTGAGCCACACGAAACTTTCGTGTAGCTCAAACAATAATAATAGTTAATATTATTATTTTTATTTCATTTCCCATTACACATGTTTACATACAGGTCAGGTATACCTCAAAACCTGAAAACGAAATTGTACAAGCAGTGCGTGTTGCCAGTAATGACATACGACAGAGACGTGGTCCTTCACTGCTGGCCGTATGAGGACACTCAAAGTCGCTCAACGAGCTATGGAGAGGGCTATGCTCGGGGTTTCTCTGCGTGATAAACTTAGAAATGAGGATATCCGCAGTAGAACCAGAGTGACCGACATAGCCCAACGGATTAGTAAGCTGAAGTGGCAATGGGCCGGTCATATAGCTCGAAGAACCGACAACCGTTGGGGAAAAAAGGTTCTCGAGTGGCAGCCTCGTACCGGTAGGCGTAGTGTAGGGCGACCCCCCACTAGATGGAGTGACGACCTGGTAAGACATGCAGGAAGTCGATTGATGCAGGTGGCTCAGGACCATGCTTTGTGGCATTTTTTTTTATAGGATAGGGTGACAAACGAGCACACAGTCCACCTGATGGTAAGTGGTTGCTGTGGCCCATAGACATCTACATCTATCCTCGATTGCGAATCAAAATGCAGATGCGTTGTCACCCGTGAGGACTAAGATGGAATGCCTCGTTTCCAGTAAAAAGGGTCTCCGGTTCTCTACACTCACCATACGAAATACAGCAGCATTAAGCTACTATTTTACGCTGGTATTCTGTGAGAGCGTGGTCCTTCCCCGGTCGAGCCGACCCATTCGTGCTACAACTATACTACTAATATAACTGCAGCATGGCTCTACCACTTAAAAACTTACTTTGGGGGAGGCCTAGTGTTAGCGACGACAAAGTGAATTCGAACATTTAATCTTAATTATTCCTTATCAGTGATTTAAAACTAAGTGATAGTATTTAATTCTAATTGTTTCCTATTCGTAAAATAAAGCTAAGTGTAAAGACTGATAGTGCTGAAAACAGGAAAGTAAATTAATCACTTCTATTCTTATCTTAAAGTAACTTATATGAATCTATTTAATATTATTTAGGTCTGATTAGAAAATTAGACGCAAGTATAAGCTTATTTTCTAGTAAGATCTTTTTATCATAACTTTAAGAGCTATTAACATATAGGTGATTAATATAATTCTTTTTTCCTTTAAAGTAATTCAAAAGAAACATTAATATGTCAATTAATCACTATATAATGTCATTTCATTATGAGAAAGATTTAAATTTTATGAAAAAATATTGTATAGATTCTTAAGCATTAATCCTGAAAAAAGTGTTGTACATTCCTACCTCTTGGCGGCGCTACTTGTATGTTCGGCAAAAATACTATCCTACTCCGGAGCTAAACCGTGAAGCGACCGCGAAGCTATTTTTATTTTTTATAAGTGTAAAATAAAGGTTTATTGAATAATTTAGGTTTATAATAATAGAAATAAAAAGAAGTGTTTTACCACGTTTATTAAGAAAATTGTAAATCTCTCTTAGAAAGGGTTATTCTGTGCTCTGATTGGTCAATAGATTCACTAATGCCGTGTGCGATTTTTTCTTAATTATGATTGGTTACAGCCGCTTATAAAAAAAGGGGCGTTTTTCGTGGTAAAATATTCCAAATCCGGCAATGTAATAATAAGGAATCAAGAAATAAAATAAGAAGAAACTCTCAAGAAGTGTTATTTATTGCTCATCTAACTGCTACTGTATGCTCTCCAGTTAACATCCCGCCAGCAAACCCGCTCTATTTTATCGACGCTCCCTTATACGAGCAACCACATTGGTCCTTCGAGAAGCCGGATCGGGTTTAAGGAAAACTAGGAAGATGCCTTCAAATACAAGATCAAAATCAGTGCAGTCGAAGACTACGAGTGAAAGCAACGCCACTACGGGTACCAGTACGACGGATTGGAGCATGAATACGCCGAGTGATTCTACAAACACGACGGCTACTAACACGTCGACTTCAGATCGATCGACGCTTACAAGAGCATCGCCCAGCAGCGTACACAGACAACCCGTACTTCTTAACAAGAACATTGCCGGAAAGGAATCAACACCGGGGGACGTAACCCATACCACCCCCCGACACGCACCGTCGAAGCGTCAGTTCCTCACCAAGAAGAAAGTCATCCAACGCCGCAGATTCAAGAAAGAAGTGTCGCAATGAAGACTCTGCAGCAGCCTCACCCTAAGAAGACGACCCGCGATCCAGACACGCTTTCCGTTCGCTCGTCGCATAGGAAGAGAGCAGAAGCGCAAGCAAAGATGACAATGGCATTAAGGGAACTAGAATTGGCAGAAGCGTGGTCAAAAGTTGCTCAAGCGGAATTAGAACTTCTCACCGCGGAATCAGAAGAGGAAGATGGTGCCGGAGAAGAGCTGTTCGAACGAACTCGAGAAGTCGAACGCTGGTTCATCCAGACCGGAGACATGCCTAATAAGAACCACAAACCAATAGAGGCAGAAGAAAAGAAAAGTGACATCCAGGAACTAGCTTCAGTCATACTAAAGCTATCAGAAAAATCACGTGACACCGTTTCACCGAAGCACCTCGAACTCCCTCACTTCAACGGGGCCTGCGAAGAATGGTTAGCCTTCAAAAGATCATACGAGGATACGGCTGCTTCTTTCAGTAGCAATCAAAACCTAGCGCGCCTTAGAATAGCGATCCAAGGAAAAGCTAGAGAAGCCGTCCAAAGCCTGCTGTTCACCGCCGAAGACCCACGCGAAGTGATTAAGGGACTGGAAGCAAGAATCGGAAGACCTGGAGCACTAGCATTAGCAGAACTAGAGAAAATGAAGAACCTCCCAAGAGTTGGCGAAAACCCGAGCGACATATGCATATTTGCAAGCAAAGTAAAGAACGCAGTCGAGACAATCAAAGCCTTGAAGAAACCACAGTATCTCAGTTCACCTGAAACGCTGAGAGTTATAGTAGACAAGATGCCGACGTCAATGAAGTTCCGTTGGTTCGCCTACCACAGAAGCAGAAGAGATGAGGAAATTCAGGAGCTATTACTTATCGAAGCGTTCCTAGAAACAGAAGCCGACATGTGCGGAGACTTCGCCCCGCCCGAAGCATCCTCAGAACAAAGAAGAGGAATAAGAAAACCCGTTCATTTGGTTCAAGAAGCCTCAAAAGAGAAATATAAGGATTCGTGTCCGTTCTGTGGAAAAGAACACTTCGTATTAGAATGTAAAAGGTTCAAAGAAGCCAACCTGAATGAAAAATGGGATATGACCAAGAAGGCAAAGATATGCTTCAAGTGCCTTCGATTCAGACACTCAAGAATCAACTGTAAAGCACCAGTCTGCAAGCTGTGCAAAAGATGGCATCATACCATCTTACATTCTGACAAACCACCGGCGTCGATAGAAAAAGAAGCAAAAGACACCAATAGCACCTCAGAAGAAAAGGTCGCCTCAATTCACAACGCCAAAGGAGAAGAAAAGGCCTACCTAAAGATGATCCCCGTGAACCTCTATGGCCCAAAAGGACAAGTTCGCGTATTGGCACTACTAGACGAAGGGTCAACGGTCACACTCTTAGACGCATCAATCGCTGAGAAAATCGAAGTCGAAGGAAAGAAAGAAAAACTCACGATCGAAACCGTCGGC